CAGAAAGGGTTAATTTGCATCACATACATACACATTGCTAATCCATACTCATGCACTAGTGCATCCACACTACATGCATTTGTTTCACCCTGCAAGCAGCAGAGGCAGGTGCCTGCACGCTGTCATTGTCCCAGCTGGCTGCTTGCAGCTCCACATCGGGTTAAAACCTTATTGCTTTTCATCAGGCCATCATATTCCTGCTCCATAAAAGGAGGAAAGATGAACAAAACTTGGATGCTGAGAGTATCAGATGTCAAACTGTGGGCAAAGAGCAGCACTGAAATTCCACAGCATGATCAGTGCACAGGAGGAGTCAGAGGGCAAATGTAGAAATTCACTCAGATAGCCACAGAAATTCAACTTAGAAAGAGCAGGTGAAGGTAATAGACTTTAAATCCCCTGTCAGGTACACTGGGCTGTGGTGTTGCAGCTCTGTATTCCAAATGAGGAAGGGAGGCTCTACCAGTGAGATTTACACTTCTGCAGTCAGATAAAATTTTTTTTCCAAGGAAACAATATTGTAGTAGCATTAAATTTTCATTTGTTCAGTGACTTTACTCTCTGAATATATTTTGAGCAATTTTTGGTTTGTTTTCAAAGCTCATGGGAATGCAAAAAAAAATGAAACACCAAACTGGTTTTTGCTTGGAAATGAGTGCTGTTAATGCTGGCACTGCATGTTTCTGTAAGTTCCATCACTCAAACCCTAAGAGTTTTCCCCCACAGAGTTAACTTACAAGTTTTCATATGCATCTTTGAACACTACATTAGCATTGATTTGGCTACAACACAGGACTAAACCTGTCCTCTGCTGCTCCCTTCCTATCACCCCCATGAGAACTGGGCCAGCTTATCAGTGCTGCAGCAGACTGAAATCAGCTATTCTGCTTTTATCAGGAAAAAAATAAAAAGGCTGCACTTTTTTTAAGTGTCAAAAAATTTCTACTGAAACCAATACCTCAGGATTTCAGAAAACAAGCATTTTATTTTTTTTGTTTCAGTTTCTTTGAGCATGGTTTGATCCTGTACTTCTTGAAACACACCACCAAAACTTAACTAGGCTGCAGCAGAAAGCTGAGCAAATCTATGCTGAGTGGTTGATTCCTCCCAAAGAAGAATCCTTAGGATAAAAGACTTTTTTCCCTTTCCACACTGGCATGTTTTAGTGCTCCTTGTGCCCTAAGAACACAGTAAGAAATATACCTCACTTTGCAGACTCTCTGGGGCAGGTTAAGACAATTCCTTGATCTCCTGCCCAGCTCTGTTCTGACATACAAATGCTCCCATAGGATTGTAAGAGAGCAGTTTGTACTGACAGAGAGGGATTTTTGGAATATTGGGTGAGAAACATGACCAGTAAATTGGTACCCAAACTCTTTCTCCTCTCCAGTAACTGAATAAGGCGTGCTGAAGAAGGGAGAGGGGGAAATTAATAATTTCTAACATATGAAAGCTATTTATTGAGTCTTGATAAAGGATGCATGACTTTAACAACAGCCTGACTCCATTCCTACAGATACCAAGGGGTTTTAGCTTGTTAACACTGAGCCAGAAGAAATTCCTTACACTAAAACAAACAAAAAGAAACAAAAATTATAAATTCTTTATAATTTTATCACACAACACACACTCCCCAAAGGGAGGATATGTGTGTTGTGTGATAAAATTATTAAGAGTTGTGCCATTGAGTCTTTCCAAAGCTGAAAGTTATTGCTGATTTTGCATTGAAGAAAAGGATACCCTCTGTTTTCTCAGATTCCCAGATCAGAAAGTACCCATAATATGCAGTTCCACACTCTGTCTGGCAGAGGTGTGAGCTGACAAACACAGCCTTGCTGTGTCTGGCTCATGACAAAACCTGTACCAGCTCTGCACTAAAAATAAGAGTGTGAGCTACCTCTAAAGGTTAAAACCACAACCCTCTGACTCCTAAACCCCTTGAAATTTCCAGGAGGTCAAAGTGCTTCTGAAGTTGTTAATGTACCAAAGCAGATTTTGGAGTTCAGAAACGTGACAGTTCAATTTAGGAATTATGTGTGAAAATGGGAATTTAAACCTAAACATAGCAAGACCATATTGCAACTTTCCCCAAGTATATTCCTTTGGAGAGCTCTCATACTTTCCTCCAGAAAGCTGACTGCTTAAAATAGCTGTCAGCTTTCTAAAGGGAGTGATTAATTCCACTGGAGTTATTTCTGCTTCCAAGAATACTAATAAATTGAACTGACAATGGGGAAAGCTGCTGCTAATGGATGTCTCACATATTTTGAATAAAGCCCACATTCATGTGTTGCTCAGTGTGTGGTTTTTTTTTTTTAGTTTTTAAACTTGATTTTCATCATACAACCTATCAGTCAGTGCTTATAAACCACTGACCAACACCAATCAATGACTGTTAGTGACTCCTAGTAATTAGTTAGTAACTGCCTCACAGCTAGCAGCACCTGTCTAGTAATTCCCAGTAGCTACTAGAGCTAGTAAGTCCCTAGGAACTGCTCAGTAACTACAAGAAGAGCTTCCCAGTAACTCCTAGGAAGAGTCTAAGAACATTGCAATAACTTAATAATAATAATAATGATATAATATTAATATGATAATAATTGTAACTGCTGGTAACATCTTAGTGTCTAACAACTGCTAGTAATGACTTTGTAGCTATCTAATATCTAACATTTACTAATCTAAATATCTAGCGATTACTAATATAGATCTAACATTTACTAATCTAATATCTAACCATTACTAATTACTGCCTTGTAACTGCCTAGTAAATAATAGTCACAGCCTGACAGCTCCTAGTAGCTACTTAATACCTGCCTAATAATTATTAGTAACTGCCTAGTTAATACTATGCCTACGACCAGCCCTTCCCTTCATGGCCCCATTGACTCATCCCTTTTCAGGGCCGAGTTCCCCTCAGCTCCCATTGTTTCCATCCCAAGGAGAATGAGCAATTTCCCCTCATTTTTCCCTGCTGTTCCCCAAAAAGGGGCTTCATCTGGGTCAGGGCCTCAAGTGAGGGCTCACATTGGATGGTTAAAGCTGAGTTGCAGTGGCAAGATGCAGCTGAGGAGCTCCTGCTGGGCACAGGGATTTTTTTCCTCCTGCTTTTTGCTTTTTTGGTTTTTTTTCCTCTCTAATTCATGGCTTATCTGAGCTCTGCTGGCAACAGTCCAAAGCTGCTGCCATTAAATTTGATAAAATTGTGCTTTGGATCAGTTTTAGAGGGCAGCAGAGGGTGCTGTTAGTTCTCCTGTTGGAAGGATGGGGCCACTCACCCCTCCAGCCCAGAATCCAGACAGACCCAAAGCACAAAATAATCTCCTGCTGAGAGGTCAGCCTTGTTCCATGCTCCAAAACTGGTGATCTTCTCCAGCTGCCTCTAAAATTCAATAGTTTTTATTCAAGGGGCTCAGAGTAGGTTCTATACTCTAAATATGGATTCAAAAAGAAGGAATCCCTGTTATCCACCATCTTTGTTGTAATTTTATTATTCTGTTTTTCTATTCTGTATTATTTGTTCTCTGGGAACCAGAGACAATGCTTGGTGTGATTAATAACTGTATTCAATACAGCCACACTCCAAGCTGTGGGAGTTTGGGAGGAAAAAACCAATCAGCACTGATTTTGAGGTGCTGAAATCCTTCTGGCAGTTTCTTAAAGATGCCAGAGCCAAGGGAAATAACCTCTGAATAAGAGATGAGACCAGATCATTCTGACATCACCTACCACACATGTAGAGCATTGCAGCTAAAACTGTAATTGCTTGTAGGAGTTAATTGCCTGTAGTGACTTTTCCAGGCTATGAAATGTACTTTTTCACAGTATGAACTGGGAGGTTTGTGCTGATGGCTCTGGGACAGCTCTGGTCTCCCTCAGGAGCAGTGGAGGTGTCTGGAGTTATGGAAATACTGCTCATAACCACATGAATAACCAGATCACCCTGAATTTATGGAGCTGTGGATTGATACTGTTTGTGCTTGGCACATGCAGGCAGGCTGTAAGACAGGGATTTGTTAGGATACCAGACTTCATCTGCAGGCAAGAAACACTGCCAGAGGCTTTTAGCAGAAGCTGCTGAGCAGTTCTGCACCTTGAAGAGCCCAGTGATACTTCCCACTGCCTTGGAAATGTAAAGGATTTATTTTACTGCCACAGGATGCACAGGATTTACCCTCTTTATTGCTCTGCAGCCCACTTTTGCTGTTAACCAGGCAGATTTTTCTGTGCAGCACAGAGATGTGGGAAGGAGACTGCAATCATTGTTATCTGCACAGTGCTTAGAGCAGGAAACAGCTTCAGGTTTCCTCGGTGGAGGGTGAGATTAGCAGGAACCAGCCCTGTGAATTGCTGTTAAAAGATAAAGAAATGCTGAAGGGCAACGTGGGCTGGGTTCAGTTTTCACAGCAAGGTTGACTCTTCCACATGAGGGCCTTTCCTTGAGTCTCCCTGAACTCACACTGGTGCAGAGAGTAAAGCCATGCTGCTCCTGAGTTTGGTCTCCCTGTTGGACCATCTTTTTCTGCTCAGGTGGCTCAGATTCTGTTCCACAGCTGAGCACTGGAGGTGGGGACAGCTCTCAGGTGCTGGTTCAAAGAGGTTTGATGCATCCAGGATGGTGAGAGTATCCAGGATGTCCTGCTTGCTCCCACAGTCTGTGCTGAACTGTTGGTGTCCTTCCAGCTCCTTCCACACTGCTCTGTACACACACTGCCGCTGGCATTTGGGATGTGAATTCCTCTTTTCCTGGTGGTGACAGGATGCTGAGAATGTCAAGGCACGTGTTTCTCTGTTATCCCTGCCTCTAAAGTCACTGCCATCTCTTGGAGGGTAAAAATAAAGCAGCTTTGTTTGATTTCTAGAAAAAGCCAGACAGTGCAGGGGTCAGAAATAGGCATCCCAGCCCTCCCTATCCCACTGTCTCAGCTGTTGCTTCCTGAGAGACAGAAGCATGTGGTGGCTAAAAATACCCTGTGAAGAGAATACACTCTCTCTCCAATGGGAGAGCATAAATTAAGCCGAGTTGTAATATATACAACTTTTGTGCTTGGGAGAAACATCTCCCACCGTCACTTTTGGAGAGGTCTTTCCTAATGGAGCAGAAAGCCCAGCCCTGTCTCATCCCTGAGTAGTTTGGTGCTATTGAGCAGAGGATCTCCTGCCTGCCCTGCTCCCACCCCCTGGCCCTGCTATGGGAATCCGTGTGGCCAGGGGAGGGGGCAGCCCAGCCCTGCTTTTATAAGCCTGGCCTTGCAGCTCCTCCAGGCTGGCAGCAGGGACGGGAGGCTTGGCTGGCTCTGAGATCCCCACCTCCCAAACCCTGGGGTCCCTGGGATGACCAAAGGAGGAATGGAGTGCGTGGAATTGTTCACAGCCGAAGGCAAAGGCAGGGGTTTGAAAGCCCAGAAGGAATTCTTGGCTGGGGATGTCATCTTTGCAGAGCCAGCCTACGCAGCCGTGGTTTTCGACAGGTAAGAGAAAAGCACTTGGAAAGCTCAGAGCAAAAATAATCTCGCTGCAAAATTTCATCTGGGTGGTTGTATGAAAGCTTGGAGGAGTCTGGATGACATCAGAGAAGGCATCAGAGGGAAGGCAGAAGCACTTCTGGAAAGACACACTCACAGCTTGTAGTGCATGTCCTTCCCAGGGCTCAGACAGTTTGTTCACTTGCAGCATGGTGCAGTTTGCTTCCAGCATCTGACCTTGCAAGGTGCTTGGTGTCCTTTTAGAGGAGCAGTGAAAGTTGCATGTGTTCAGTGCCTCACAAAAGCAGCCCCATGCTACACTGCAGAGAACTGCCAGGAGTCAGGGCAATTCAGGCACAGGAATTCAGGCTGACTTTGCCCAAGTCTCTGATGGGTAACACATGATAAAATCGAATTCTATTGCGCTCTGCTCACGTGTACCATCCCCAGCTGCACTTCCAGCTCCATCACCCGCTGCCCTCCAACCAGGAGCTGGTGAGGATCAGCAAGTGACACTGTTTCTGTTAAAGAGATTTAATATTTACAGCTGGCTGAGCTCTCTGGAGACAAACGTCTGCATTTGCTCTTTCACGAGACTGGTTTTAAATTTATGTTCACACTGATGTAGCCAGACTCTGAGTTCTTGTGCAAGGATATTTGTCTTTTCTGCTGCTTGTTTTAATCACAACATTCACTCAATCTGTGCTGCTGGTGTGGCTGGTAGGTGCCCACTTCTGCCCTTTGAATCAGTGGAAGATTCACCTAACTAAACTGGAAGAGAAAAGACGCAAAGAATGGATTTCTGTGTTGATTTTCATTGGGTTGAATCTAAATTAAAGCCTCTGACACAAATGAAACTTCTTCAGCCTTTTAACACAGTAACTGAGAACAGAATGTGGCCCAGATTTTTAAACTGAGGACTTAGATGGTAGCTGAAGGTTTAATTTTGCACTTAAGAAAGTTGTGAGTGTTCTTCAAGGGCATCATGGTGAGTCCTGAGACTGAATTTTTAGCCCCAAACAGTAACTTCAGTAAATACCCTGCCCACTAAACAGGGCTGTGAGCAATTCTGCTTAGCTGAGTTTTGTCTAATTGCATTGGCTCTGCTAACGAAGTCTGGGGCACAAGCAGAGGCTGTGCTGCTGCATTAACCCTGTCATATCATAGCTGAAGCTGATCAGTGCCACTGGGTGATCTGGCAGCAGCAGAGAATTGGATATTAAATGGGCAGAGGAAGAAATAAGTTTTTTATGTGTCTTTCTTTCACAGTGGTTTCATTGTCCTTTAAGTGTCAGTGGGTGAACATGATTATGAATCTTTGCAATAGCGGGAATGACACCTTTAGTTTTTATTTTATTATGTCATTGCAAGAGCTCACATTAAAAATGTCATTTTTCACTTTAAAATGTTGAGTTCTTGAAGTCTTAACCCTGAGCTTAATTACAGGAGTTGGTGACAAAGTAATTTCTCCTTGATGTGTCCTTTTAGCTCTTCAGTTAGTATTTCAGTTTCACTCATGTCACTAGCTGGAATTTTGTGGTGATTTGCTTCAGAAATGCCTATGGGCAATTATTTCTGTCATATGCCTTATTAAAAATACTTTTTTCTTTAAAACCACTGAAAACGTTTTGATTTTTGATGATGGGTTAAAAATATTTTTTCCTCCACGTGCAATGCTGCACCATGCGTAGAGCAGAGCTGCCGCGTTGAAGAGCTGCGGCTTTGCTGCATTTTCAAATGTCACTGGTGAAATGTGAGACAAGGGCAGAAGCTGTCCCTGCTCCAGCTCAGACTGCAGAATGTGTCTTAGGCTGAGGCTTCCCACAGAAAACCTCAGATGTGTCTCCCTGCTTCCCTCCCTTCCTCTCCAAGCTGGTCTTGTTTAGCTCCCACAGGGCAGGTCCAGAGGTTGAGCAGCAAGAAATGAAGGTAAACACAGCCCTTCTCTGCAACTGTTGTGCAATAATAATGGATTCGTACCCTCCTGTGACACATTTCATCTCAGAGCACTGAATATGGGTCAGAGGTGAAACATAGTCCCAAAATCTCTGAAACAGACTAAAAGCTTTTTGATTAGAGCTTGGCAGGATGTAGCCTGGGTGTGAGCTATACTGGAAACACATATTTTTCTCGTGGAAATTACCTTGATGCTTTTCTTCTACGCCCAGGGCTTTGGTTTTAAAGGTCCCTTCTATTGCTGTCCCAGGGTATTCAGTTGCACCAAACTCCATTGATTTAATTGCTGTCAAAGAAGGGTTCCCTGCATCCTTGTATTTTTATTCCTTCAAGATTAAATCCACACCTGGCCATGGTAGCTGGTTTTGCTCTATAGGAACTTCTGTTGCCTCTGCATGGTTGAAGAGCCCAGTGAAGAGGCATGTGCTTTTCCTAGCCCACAGATACAGGTGTATAAATACTAAAATTGCTGTTGAATCTACACTATCATAAAAGGGTCTCAGCCTGCACAGGGAAACCCAAAATCCAGAGTCTCTCATCCTAATTCAACTCAGTCCTCCCCTGCCTTGCTGAAAGCACGATGTATGTGAAGTACAGAAAAGGGACTCAAACAGGAACGATTGCTGGGTTTAAGTTTTTGGCTCGGGCCCTACCAAATATGTAACCAGATTTTCCAGAGGTCTCAGCTTTCTTTGTGCATAAAGACCACACAGATGCACTGGAGTGCAGAGCTGGCCTCTGCTTTGCAGTCCTTTGAAGAACTCAGTCCTTTGGGAAGTCTATTCCCAGTCTGTGGGTATTGATACCCTGAAATCCTTCCCCTGATTTTGCTGTTGAAAGGGGTGGGAAGGAGGTTGTAGTGCAGAGGCCACACAGTGATTTCTGTGAGATCTTTTGGAGATTCGTGGGAAGAGCTCTGCAGAGATACAACACCCGTGTGCTTCCAGAGCACAGCTTGGAATGGAGATCAGACTGGGATATCAGCCACAATTTACCTGGCCAATAACCAGATGGCCAAGTTTAAAGTGAGTAACCAGATCCATGTGGGAGCTTTGACAGGCTGCCAGGCAAATCGATGCCATTCCTGTACTTACCCAGAAAGTCAGGGCTTTGTCACTGCTGGTTACCTGCTCCACTGCTGGAGCTGTTGGGGGAGGCTCTCCTGGTAGCCCACTATGGATCCAATCCAGGGCAACTGGGGAGCATAGCCCAGACTCCAACCTGACTTGCAGATGTAGATAGAGAGAGATACTTAGATTCATGTGAGGAGCTGTCAAAGTAATTTTTCACCAACTGCACATTATTGATGTCTGTCTTTAGTTGGAGGCTGAGTTTGAGGAAGTGTGGAAATTCTATTTTGCTAGGAAAAGGGATAAATGTTTCCTTTGACAAAACCCTATCATCAGGTATCCCTGCAGAGCCTAAACTGGACTTCTATGTCCAACCAAGTGAATCCAGCACTAAATGCTGATATAATCAGTGGAGCTCTATATGTGCAGTGACACAGACATCTACCTTTGAGCTGAACAACTTTCCAGACCCCACTGGTTGTGCTGGGGAATCCCTACTCAGACACAGGGGGTACAGACAAATGAGCACATCTTGGTGTCTAAATCTACCGGCTGAATCCCACCCTGAAGGTCACAGGGACCCTGAAAGCCCCTAAAGTTGTTTAAGCTGGTGAGGGCGTGTACTCTTCAGCCTCAGATGGTCATCTGAGCAGCAGTCTCTTACACAGTGCCAGAGACCTTTAATCTAGAAATACGTAAAACTCAAAGAAAAATGAGGATCCTATAAACACCAGCCAGCTCATAGTCAGATTTTAAGGCCAGAGCATGACTCACTAGGATAACTCTGTTCATTTCAGGGGGGTTGGACTAGGACTAGGTGACCTTTAAAGGTCCCTTCCAACCCAAACCATTCGGATTTTACGATTCTATTACTTAGTTGCTTAACAAAGTGTGTACTTAGTGTTGACTCCTGTATCAGACCTGTTACTTCTACCTGAATGAGAGCAGGCTGCTTAAAAAAATGGTGATACTGATGGAAAAGGAGTGCAGAATTCTGTGTGATTTCCAGGATAAGGTGTAGGCACAGCCTGATCTCTGATTTAGCCTTGCTGCTTTCAGCTGAAATATCACTCAGAAAACACCACTGTCAAGCAGCTTTGGCTGACATAGAAGCAGAAAGCTGGAAATGCATTCTCAAGGGATTCTTTGCTTTCATTGGGGTAATTTTTCAATTTGCAAAGGCCCTGAGCCTCTCACTGAAGCTTTCTGTAATCCTTCCTCCCTCTTTGCTTTCTCCTTGAAGATCCCAGAACTCCTTTCCTCCATCACCTTCATGACCATGGCATTGCAGTGCCTGGGCTGTATGTGACCTTCTCCTCTGACACATCACTTGGCCCTCAAGCCTGTAAGAGTTTACATTTCCTATAAGCAAGGGGATGCCTCATATGTCTCTGTCAGCCTTTGCCAAGAGAAATTTGCTCTTTAACCAGCAGGATTTGAGAGACAGTAGTCAAGGAAAACAGTGTCATGTGGTGGAAAGCCAAGGTCACCTGAAGATCTGCTTGATGAGTGATCTGCAAATTGATAAAAAACTGAGATCATGCAATTTTTGCATGCCTTTTTGATGTAGAAGGAGGCTGAAATCATTTTCCAAGGAAATGTGGGGAGCTCTGCTATTGTAGCTAGGATGACCTAGACATATAAGAAATCTAAAATTTTCCATAACATCATGACTGAAAAGATGATGGGAACAAATTCTTTGAGCTGACACCGATAAAAACTGAGAGCTAATGTCATCCTATTCATATTTTAAAAAATGTTCTGGGGTTTGATTTTTTTATTACTATCTCATTTGTTCAAAAGCCTAATTAAAACCTGGGAACAGACCTAGATATTTTAAAGAAAATCTCACCCACATCTCTAAAAAAAGGCTGGGAAATCTTGTCATGAAAAACTAAAAATAAAATAGTCAAAAATTAGTCTAAAATAAATCCTCCTCTCAAATCAGAAAAAACCCTAGGATATATCATCCCTGACATTTTAAAGATGAAAGTACTAAGCTTCAACTCCTTTTTAAAGGAGCAAACCCATTCTTATGCTAATAATTCATCTTTAGGTAGCAGGTGCATTTTCTTAGGCTGCTGTCTTTAATGAAGTGTTACAGCCTCTGCTCTGAAAACCAAGGAGATTTTGCCCTACATCTTAAGCTGGTTTTATGCTGTTCTCTGTAGCAGACTGAGGAGAGAGATGCCCTGCCAAGCAATAATAAATAGGATTTAGTTGTAAGTTAGGCCATCTCTGTGTATCATCTGTGATGTACAGGATAGCATGGACCCATGTTTAACAGTTTGGGAGCTACTCACTGTGCCTATCAGCTGCTCAGTGAAATCTTCCTCTGTTCTTTGCACTAAAGCCATCTCACCTGGCTTTTCCAGGCCACTGAATGAGATGTTTTGTGTGCTGGATGGCAGATGTTTGGGCTGTGCATGTCTTGGAGATGAGGTTAATACATTTCCTGTGGCAGTGCTCAACCTGGCAGGATCTTAATCTGTCTGAATCCAGTCCAAGCAGTCTCAAGATTTGTTTCTTGTGCTTTCACTACAAGCTGTGCTTGCAGGAGCCGTGGTTTAGTTGTCAGTGCTGCGTTACCTCTTGCATTTGTTGGCTGGCATGTTGAATCACTGTTTTTGTCACTGTAGCTGCATTCAGGAGTAGTTGTAGTTGTGTCTCACCTAAGTGACACCAGAGCACGTGAGCCCTTCAGAGTTCAGCTGGGTTGATGCTGAGGTGGGAGGCCAAGGAAACCTGAGGCTCCCCAGAAAGTCATTCAGTGAGTCAGTCAGTGGCATCTGCCCTCTAAGTCAGCCCAAATCCTGACCTGGCAAGCTTGTGGTGGGCTGGAGGCATGATTACTAAAGAAGATCCTGCTTTGGGGCAGGGTGAGAACCAGCTCTCACTATGTGTGGAAGGGGGCACTGCTCACCTTGGAGGCTGTGGTGGGCACACACAGAGCAGAAATCTGTTGTGCTGTCCCTGTGATGAAGCCAGGGAAGCTGAGCAGCAAGACCCAGAGGGTTCAGACCTCCAGGGCTCCTTGATAGGTGCCACAGCAGAAGTGACCTCCCCAGGGTCCTCTCCAGGAACTTTTAGTGCTGCCTGGCCATGCAGCATCCTGCTCACACGGGTGTGGGCTGCTCTCTGTGCTGGAGGGGAGATCTGGGATACCTGGAACCATTTTGGGTTGTGTTAAACACTTTCTAGACCAGACAGAGAAGGTTTTGTAGACCAATGATTTCCACAGGCTGTCAGACTTAAATTTAATCTCAGGCTGCTCCACTTGGAGAACCCCAACATTGCATAGGGGATGAGAGAGGAGCCTTGAACCACTGCAAGCCTTTGGTGTCTGGGCCTCGTGTCTCCAGGACAGGTGGAACCAGACCCAGCCAAGGGAGAGCCCCACTTTGTCCTTCTCTTTTGGGGCATCCAGCCCTGAGCTCCTCTGACACAGCAGGAGTTTCACAACTGCCAAGGAGCACCTGGGGGATTTAGGTGCTCGCAGATGCTTAAGCAATGTTAGCTGAAGTTTTATGGAATAGATCTCAAATACTTGTGTCTCCAGATTTTTTACTGGGCCAAAAGTTGAGCCCAGGCCTCTGGAGTCCTGATAACACACAGTATCTACAAATCCAGTCTTTGAAACCATTTTGGGGCACAGAGGATCCCACAATGATTTTGTAAGAGCTGCAGTATTTCTTACACTTGCCAGTCAGATTACCTGGGAGTAATTGTTTCTGCAGTTTCAATACCACAAGGGCTGCTCCTTCTCTTTCTCAAAAAGTCTTGTTTAACATTTCTGGTGCATTTCTACATCTCCTCAGAAATGAGGGATTTCCAGAGCTGGTGGTAAGTTCTGCCAGCCAGGTTTGCTTTGGAAAATCTGGACACCCCACGCAATAAACAACAAAATGCAAAGTCAGAATTTCAGAGTTTTTTTATTCTCAGGGAGCAAACTGAGGGTAGAGAAGCACCTGTTAGAGGACTTGGATTTTTCTGCACCGTGTTCCCTTCCAACCTGTAATTCCTCTCTACAAGGAAACTTTTTTCCCTGGCTGCCCTTAAAGGAGGTGGCAGGAGGGACCCCCATTCCCCATGTGAGATAATCTCCCTGTGCTTCCTGGCACGATGTAATCATGTGGGTTTTTTCAGCCCTCTGGCTCTGCTTTGCCTTACAAGGAGTGTAATCTCTCTTGCACCTCTCTGCCCCCCTGACCTGACAGCTGACAGAGCCCAGCCTCACATTTCTCACCAGCTCTCAGCTCTGCCATTGGACACAGTGGAGCATCCCCCTTCTCAGACACGTTTCCTCTGCCCCATCCCAGGTGCTTGCCTTGCACTGGGCTCCCTCCAGCACTGCTCACTTTCCTAAACCCTTTTTTCCAAACCTCATTTTGCACATGGTTTTGTCTGATGTGGGTCATCCTGCTTTTAAATCCGTGGCCCTCTTTATCCTGCAAGAGCCAAGGCACAGGGTAGATTATGTCAGCAGCTGACACCATATTTTCAGAGAGAAGAAAATGCATTTTGAATGTACTGTGATATAGATATAAATGTATATGCATATGTATGTGTGTACTTATATATAGGTATAGTAGAGAGGAAGGACAATCTTTGGGCTGGATTCTCTGGGGCTGTGAGTCTGATTCCTGCATGTGGCACATCCTCCTTACAGGGTGATCAATATATTTTTTATCACCCCATGCCTTATTTTCCCCACTCTGTGGGGAATAATAATAAATGTTTCTTTATAAATTATAAATGTTTCTTTAATCACAAAGCCTCTATGACCTCTGAGCTTTTTGCAGTGATGAGAACCTCCCTTCTGGCGCCAGCAGTGGCTGAGTGGTGTGAATTTAAATTCCCCTGTACTGTCAAGTCTGGCTTGAAGCCCAGATAAAGTGAGCGTTCGCCTGGAGAAGCAGACAGCTGCAGACACCAAATCAGGCAGTGAAAAGCCTTCTCTAGCAGCAAGGGGAAAGTCCCAAAATTTTTTGGACAGGAGACCAAAGTGTCTCCCCCTCCTTCTCAGTGAATTAAGTTGTAGGAGCAAAAGCTGGACACATGAAGGGGATATAGGGGGGGTTTCCTCTCAGTCTGGGACCCTGGACACTCTCAGAGGGAGGATGTGAGGTCAGACTCCTTCATCAGTATCCTCCCCCAGCCTTGGTTATGGTTACATGCATACAGTTGTAGGATTCTTCTTGGAAATCCTGTTTTGAATCCCCCAAAGATGAAATACCCCTTTTGAAGGGGTCCCAGTTATTCCATCACCATTTAACTTACAGCAACAGCACCAGGCAAGAACACAACGGTTTAGCCGGGTGGGATGTTTCTCCATAGTCACCAAAAATCTTGAGAGGTTCATTTCTGTGGCTGTGGGGAGCTCAGGGGTGCAAAAGTGGCAGGACCTCACTGATCCAAGGCGTCCTTCTGTCCTTGCAGCCTGACACACGTCATCTGTCACACCTGCTTCAAGCGGCAGGAGAGGCTGCACCGCTGCGGGCAGTGCAAGTTCGCCCACTACTGCGACAGGACCTGCCAGAGAGCAGCCTGGCTCAGCCACAAAAACGAGTGCTCTGCCATCAAGAGACATGGCAAGGCACCCACAGAAAACATCAGGTGAGAGCTGGTTCCTGTGACCTGGGAGAGGACAGAGCGTCCTGGGTGGCCTGACTTGGGCGAGGTGGAGAAGGTTTAGGATAATAGGCCAGGAGGATCTCTGAGATAGGGAAGGTACATAGAGGAGCATCAGTGGTGCAAGAGATGTGTTCCTGTTTGGTTTTTTTTTGGTGCTGGGTCCCAAAAACTCTGCACATGGTGAGGTAAACCTATCCTGCTTGGTTTAGGAAGTGTGGGAAACTGCGGAGTAGGTGGAAAAGTAAAAGAAGAGATGGGTTATTCCCCAGTTTGCCTACAGGGTACATTAACTTGTCTTCACATTCTGGCTCCACCATTAAAAAATGAGAGGAATCCTCAAGGAAATGGGAGCAGCTGTGGAGGGCTGGATACCTGGGGATTTGTAGAACTTCTCCAGATGAGAACACAAGTGCTGGGACAAAACCCTGCGCCTCCCTGTCCTTCAGAAGGCTGGGGATGATGCTGACCATCCATCACTCCTTAGATACTGAGCCTGTCTCAGCTGGTCTGCCCACACACCGTGTCCCCCCAGGAGATGAATTCTGATGAATTTTGTTCTCTCCATGTGCTGCTGGTGCTGTGACCCCGTGGCTGTGTCCTGGCCAGGCTGGCTGCCCGCATCCTGTGGAAGATGGAGCGGGAGGGCAGCGGGCTGTCCGAGGGCTGCCTGGTGGCCATCGAGGAGCTGCAGAACCACGTGGACAGCTTTGGAGAGGAGGAGAAGAAGGATCTGCGTGCTGATGTGGAGAGTTTCCTGGAGTTCTGGCCGCCCCAGTGCCAGCAGTTCGGGATGCAGCTCATCTCCCACATATTCGGGGTGGTACGTCCGAGGGGGGGCAGCTCACGGGGGGAGGGTTTGTGATGCCAGTTTTGGGGAGAAACTCTCCAGCTGGCCTCATGAGAGGATGGCTGACTTCATCTCATGCCCCACCTGCTTCTCCTCTGCACTGACACTGGGAAACTGAGGCACATGTTGCTATTGGACACAAAATGAGTACACAGAAGCTTGGTGAGTTCAAGAGAGAAAAAGAGTTAATTTTATTTCTGACTTCACAATATATAGAATTCTAAAAGTGGTAGAGGATTGGAGGATGAAATTGTTACTTCTCCAACCACACTGGTCAGACTAACAGTCTATTAACTCTCTCTTCTCACAAAGAAGCATGTAAAACAATCATTATTTACATGAACAGTGTGTGAGAACTCCAGTAGAAATATGTAAACATTATCAGAAGGCTAAAGAAGTTTTATGAGAACTTTAAAACTTTCAAAAGAAAACTTAACACTTTTAAAAATCAGGGCAACAGGCATGGGCTGAAGCATTTTGTCTGTCTCAATGTGCAGACAAGTGGTTTGCTCAATCATAGGTGCTGCATTTTCATCACATGTCCCACTGGGCATCTCTGTGCACCTGGGACAACTGAGAAAATATATTTTCAGTAACTACATCTAGAATGTATTTGAATCTAGAAGATCTATTTTAGTAGATACATTAATGTTTATTAATATTGTGTGCAATTGATTTTTTACATTGACATAATAGATACAATTAAAACAGTAAAAAATGGAAATATATTTAATAATATCAACTACAAAGTTATTAACTACAAATTTTTGCTCTCAATGTTGCAGAGAGGGAAATTCCAGTTCAGGCTGAGCTGCTCTGCTCCCAGCCCTGGGTATCCCTGCACTACCCCCTCAGCTCCCAACACTGCCATGAGGAGACACAGGCTCTGCTCACCCTCTGCCAGTGGCTGCTGTGCAAGACAAGCTGGCCTTTGTCACTCCCAGTACAGGGAGAGGACACAGCTTTGGCACCCACACCACAAGGAAAACCCAGTCCACTGGACACAGGGAGACCCTATGTGCCAGTGACCAGCACAGCTTGTCTGTGGAGGAGCAAGGAAATACAGAAATCTACAGAATCAGTTCACAAAGGAAATAAAACTATTAACAGGGTAAAATAATCAGCAGCTGAGTTAATTATTTCCTTCAGTTTATCCTATCAGATTTTTTCTTCGCAGATATTTCCATTATTTATGCTTGTGACTTAAAACTGTTCTATACATAGTAGTATCTCATATAAAAAAAGTGAAATAATTCATTCTTAGAATATCTGTCATACAAAACTAGTAATTCTGAAAATTCACAGCAAAGAGTAGTAGCTGGTTTTTATGAGCTTTGAGGGCAATCCAGCAAACATGACCAGGTTGAATGCAGCAGTCAAGGTTAATTTCTAACTGATACCTGTTTTTGTGAGTGTGAACTTTGCTTTCTGCTTGAATTGCCTCAAAGCAATTTTCTTGTGACCTTTTTCCAAACTATTTTCAGGAACCAAATATAAGGAAATCAATGCATGGCCAGACCAAGTTTATCTTAGGCATCCCGAGTGAACACTGACAGCAAATATTCCATAACATTGACTCAGCTCTGGCCTGGCCCCTCTGCACAAGTCCTGCATTGTTTCTCTTCTGATGTTTTATCCCAGCTGGAGTGTTTCAGCTTTTTCTCCTTTAACACTTCTTCCTACCTGTGTTTTGGGACTAGATCAGCTGCAATGGCTTTACCCTCAGTGACCAAAGAGGACTGCAGGCTGTTGGTGTGGGAATCTTCCCCAACCTCTGCCAGGCCAACCACGACTGCTGGCCCAACTGTACGGTCGTCTTCAACAATGGCAAGTGAGTGGATTTCTTTCCTTTGCTGCAGCAGGGATGCAGCCAGCTCAGGCTCTGCCACCCTCACTGTCAGGTCCCTGCCCCAGAAAATCTATTCATTCTTATTTCCTTCTCTCAGAGAGATGGAAATAAGCTCAGAGAAAAAGCCCAAACAGTGTTTTCTTGCTAAAGACAAACTAGTTTCCCTCCTTGTTATTTAAAAAATTGTCATCTGATGCACTAACAAATACATGAGATTTGACCCCAAATCCAACAACCAGCAAAGCATTTTCCCCTGGTGTTGTATGAGTTTTGTAACTGGACTCAAAATAGGTAGCTAAAGTAGTAAGTAGCTGTTTAACTCACCTCTTATATTGAAGTCTCATCTATAGATAGTTAAGGAGTAATTCTACTTGCAAATTAGCAAGGATCATGCTGAGTCTACAATCCAAGAGCTTCTCCTAACTGAAGCTTGCACTCAGCTGTGTATCACTATGTGCTGGTGTGTTTATAACCATTCCTAACACAACCCCCATCTGGTGAGAGTGTGCCATCTCAATTAATCACTAATTAACTCTTCAGCCACGGGACCTTAGTGACATTTGTGATTGTTATCTGCAAGCAGAGTCACCTGAGAGTGCAGGATGCTCTCAGTCTCTGGGCATTCCCTATTCCCACCCCAATCCTGTAAGAAAACCTCTGCAGGATGAGTGAGATGGAAAAAGATTCAGTGGGAAACGCAGAGGTGTTTCACCAGAGCTGGGAGTGGAGGTAGCCCACAGGAGGGATGCTCTGCCCTTCCCAGTTTCCAAGCCATGACAGGTATAAACTGCTGTTGATTCAGAAAGTTGCAGTGTGTGCAAAACACTGTGAGAAATTGCTTGCCAAAAACTGATCTTTCCTCTGATCTTTCTGCTACTATTTTACAGCTACCTGTCTTCACTAAACTTTAGTGCTATAACTTAACCACCCCTCTTCCCCCCAGCTCCTCTTTTAACTAACACATTGGTTCTGCACTCCAGTTGTCACTGCTGGCTTTCCCTGATAAAATGATTCCAGCATTTACCAAGCAGCTGGTAAACAAGTCAAGAGAAAACAAAAGTGCATGAGGATGATTACCTTGGTAGAAAATAGGGTCTGATCCAAAGTCAGGTTGGAGTCTGTGCTATGATACCCAGTTGCCCTGGATGGGATCCATACTGGGCTGACAGGAGAGCCTCCCCAAACAGCTCCAGCAGTGGAGCAGGTAACCAGCAGTGACAAAGCCCTGACTTTCTGGGTAAGTACAGGAATGGCATCGATTTGCCTGGCAGCCTGTCAAAGCTCCCACATGGATCTGGTTACTCACTTTAAACTTGGCCATCTGGTTATTGGCCAGGTAAATTGTGGCTGATATCCCAGTCTGATCTCCATTCCAAGCTGTGCTCTAGAGAGTACAACTGCTGATGTCAGTGGAGACCTTTCTGTGCAGGAGATCCAGTCCCCTTGTTCCTGCCAAATATCAGGAGCAGGTTTTGCACATTCCCTGACCTAGACCACTCCTAAAATCACAGTGCCAGGGCAGTTTCCCACCAAATCGTCTATGGCCCAGTGATGGACAATTTGGTCCTGGCAGCTGCATATCAAAAGGGAAGCTCTCATGCAGTGCCACATGAGCCAGGCACAGGCAACCCCCTTGTCTCCTGTCAGTACAATGTCCAGTGCTATGCCACGTACCCTTTTTTTTTTGTTGTTGTACTTGTACATGTGTAAACTGCAGATGTTTGTTTTGTCTTTCAGTCATGAGGCTGTAAGATCAATGTTCCACACACAGATGAGGTGGGTCAGTCTTGAAAGCATCATTCTCCTCCATCCCCCTGTACCCCTCACGCCACTCCCTTAATGGAAAAGATGCAAAGACCCCAAGGGGCTCCCTCTGTTTACTCCAAATTCCACTTTTCCTGTTTTCTAAACTTCTTTCCCTGTGTAAAGCCCCACTAAACCCAAACCTCACTTAACTCTGCATTTTGTAGTAAATTAAAATAATAGTGGTAATAGACTGTATTCCCCAGGGTGAATTCCCTCTCTGCCTTGCCACCCCCTCCCTTGGCTTCCTCCCTGTCAGTAGTTCCCCTTTCCACTTCTCATTTCTCCTCTCCTGAACATGGCAAGAGCATGAAAGTCAGAACAAGGTCTTGCTAATCTTGTACAGCCCAAAATAAAGCCTTGCATATTAGGAGATGAGAAATGACTGTGTTACTGACACACTAAATACTCCATGTTTCTCCTGCAACAAACTGTGCCCGAGGAATGTGTTGCCTACAGTAGCAGTACCATGAGATGTAGGTTTCAATTCCTTTTTACCATAATCCATGATTAATGTTCCACCTTTTAATGATGCCACTGTTACCTGATCCAAACTAAATAAATTACAAAAATATGTGCAAAAAAAAGTTTTTGCTTAACTCATGACATTTGGTATTTTATAGTCAGTGTTCTTAAGGGGACACTGTTGTCTTTAAAATTTAATTTCAAGCAGGCATGCATTTTCCTCAAAGAAGATGTGAAATACATTTCAAGTGCTCTTTTTCACCACTGAATCTTACCCAGGACATTGTAGATAGGGCTATAAAAAAGGGGAAAACCAGTTTCACTTCTGATTAGAGTTGCTATTTGGGGCAATTTGAGTTTTGAGCTATCAGGCACTCGCTGTGCCTGTGCATGCAGCTATCAAGGTCCCTGCTGCCCGTGGCAGACACTGGGGAAAGAGCCCTTGACAAGCTCAGTGGTGTGCTCCTGGCTGACAGTGTCTCTTGAACTACAGTATTTAAAATATGCCATGTGTTTCCTGGCTTACCCCAAGGGCTATCAATCCCCTCCACACAAGGGATGGCTGCCTAAAATACCCCTACAGTGCTTGGGCTATCAGGGGCATCATGAAAGTCAGAGGCTTGATTTTGCTTCTCTGGTTGCATGACTCACTTTGATGAGGATCCTGTGAAGTGTGAACAGGAATGTTTATATGTGTAAACTTTCCAGATGGGAATTGCTCTTTTTTGTGCACTTCCTCCTGGAGTAGCTGATTGCACTTTTCTCTGTCTGGCACTTTCCTGTGGTTGTGACATAACTAACAGCTGCCCTTTGTGACAATGGCGTGTTTGCTGGTAAATTTTGTATGAAATTTGTTGCTAATATGGCAACACCCAGAGAAGATCAAGACCAGCCTCAGAGAAGAATTTTGACAGCAGCTTTAGCAGAGCTGGAAGACTCAGAGCTGCACCCTTGGTACTGAGAGCCTGTAACAGGAATTCCAAGGGAATTAGAAGGGAATTACAGGAGAATTACAACCCTTTGCAAAAACATGATCACACAGAATAAGTCATGTCCTCCCCAAAAAGCTTACTTCTAAAGAACCTGGTGATACCTGTGAGTCTCTGCCACCTCTGCCTTTCGTGAGGCATTTTTTGGGTTCTGCCTAGAGCACCTCATGTTCTGGTGGAAGCCAGCAGGTCCATCTCAAGGCAGACATGCATTATACACACTGTTGAGCTCACTAGTAGCTGGAAGAGGAGGTGGATACAAAAAGAACCACCTCACAGCTGGTATTTGTTGGATTTTTTCCCCATTCTCACCAAATTCTCTAGCCAGTCGTGCCTGTTTAGCCCCTACAACTGAGAGATGGCCCAGAGTAACTGTGGAGTGAAAGAGCATGGGAATAGTTCTGAAACTCCACATTATTTAAGACCTTTTGCAGGGAACAACATGAGGGAAAGGCAGGTACAAAGGTCTGGCTTTCCAAATCCCGTTATCAGGGCCTTGCCATGGATTTCAGTAATAGAGGTTGGCAATTGAATTGTGGTAATAGGTCAAATGAGCTATTTAAAAATAGACTCTCTCCAGATAATTACTTATAAGCTTTTATGTGGAAATGCATGAACAGGGTGAGGGCATCTCTTATGCAGCACCCAGAGGGAATTTGTCTTAACTTTTCAAAGCGAGAACGATACCGAAGGCAGCAGAGCTCAGGATCTGGAAGTATAGCCAGGGGTGTGTGGGTAGCATGCAAAGCAGTACTTAAAAAAAAACCCAAATCCAAACTCAGCATTTTGGTGTGTATTTCTGATCTCAAAGTTTTTTTCTTCTGGTGAGATCTCCTGCAACAAACTAAAAGTTGATGTCTAGGTTCAGCCCCCATATGGATAAATTAATGGAGCCATAACCTCTTTATAGTTCAGATCTTTACATATCCCTGCCAGGGACTTGGAGAGGGGCAGGAAAAAGTGGTGTGACTGTGTTCTTGCTCTGTATTCAGTTAACCAGACTGCTGTTCACCTCTGCACTGCCTCCCTGAAGACTTAAAGCAGTGCCTTAGGGCGAGGGCTCACCTCTGCAAGGCAGGGCAGGCTGCAGGGTTTGTCCCTGCCGGCTCTGTGGCTGCACTTCTGCTGCTTCTCCAAATGCACATCCCATCTCCTGTGCCCCTAGGATCGAGCTGAGAGCCCTGAACAAGATTTCCCCGGGGGATGAGCTGACTGTTTCCTACGTGGATTTCCTCAGCCTGAGCGAGGAGCGGCGGAGGCAGCTGAAGAAGCAATATTACTTCGACTGCACGTGTGAGCACTGCAAGAAACAGCTCAAGGATGACCTGATGCTGGCAGTGAAGGCAGGGGAAAGCAAGGTATGGTTTGTCCTGCAGTGTCCAAACCCACTGGTGGCTGCATCTCCTCTACCAAGGCATCTATCAGGCTCTAGGACCTTGGTTTCTCAGCAGTCTTGATAGTCTCAATGGTCAGATTTTGGCAAAAGCATGACTAATGCCAATGTAAAAAAATGAGAACAGAACTGGACCTTGATTGGGCACAACACCAATTCAAGCCCACCATGCAAGGCCAGTCCTTATTATCTAAAGTAAGTACAGTTTTTAATTTTAAAAAGCCTCCCAAAGTTGCCTTTAACCTAAAAGTCCAACAATAGACAGAATGCAAAAATAAATTAGGTCCAGAGCTGAGAAAAATGTTGGCATTTAGATTGTGGGTTTTTTGGGGTTTTTTTTTGTGGTTTTTTTTGGTTAGTTTTTTTTTTTTTGTTTGGTTGGTTTTTTTGGTTTTTTTTTTTTTGTTTTTTTTTTTTTTTTTCTGAAAAACTGCAAGGGGTTCTACATTTTGAGTGCAGAAAGAGAAATGCGTTGCAGGTATGGTGACAGGACTAAATGCTGCTGAAGCTCTATTGTTTGTACCATCACAGGCTGCAGGAATGTGGGAAGCCTGAACTCCCAGTCCCTCTCTGCAAAGGCCTGTCACAAGGAGTTTGCACCATCAGTTGACGTTTTTGCATGCTTGCTGCAGGCAGACTGACTGTGAGGAATGAACATGTTGAACTGCTCATTTTTAAGTAATATTTCTTTTCCTTGGAGGTTTCACAAGTCATCCAGCAGGAGGGTACAGGGCTGTGTCTTGCTGTTGGCAGTGGGATGTGTTGCTTGGCCAGCAGCTCCAGTTTATGAGTGTGCTGGCAGCTCTAAGAGTTTCTTTTTAGTTCCTCTGCCCAAGGATATAATTGCTCATAGGTTTTGTGATCTCTGGCAGTGCTAGCTTGGGGATTTCTACTCCTGCAAGCCTTATAAAGTGTATAAAGGAAGGTAAAGCAAGGCAGAGCAATAGGTGTATCACCAAGTCATTGATCTGCAGTGCTGAGCAGTCACACCACGAATCAGACAGTACAGCCCAGGGGATGATGTGGAGCAGGGGTCAAACAAAACCAAAAAATTGGGCTGAGGAAATGTGACCTCACAGAAGCAGTGCCAGCAGGAGAGCCCCAGTGAGATGAAGCTTCCTGGGAAGGAGCACAGAACTCTCAGCCTCCCTCTCAGGAGGTGCCAGGAAGCCAAGCTCAGTCCTGAAACTCTTCTTTCAGAGACATGGCAGCCAGGAAAGGCTGGATGCTGTGGAGTGTAACTCTCTCCTCGAGAAAGGTTTAGAGGAATAGTATTGAGCTGATACAAGGAAGCTCCCTTACAGGAGACAGGAGATGGGACTAGAGGAGACCCTTGCCTTGCTGGGTCAGGTTCTCCTCTGGTACAAAAGACCCTGCTATATAACCCCATTTTGAATTATCAAGCTTCATCTTACAGCTAATCCTGACTACTGTACTTCTCCACTTATAATATAAAGTTGTCCCAGAGCTCAGTTCTCTGATGCAGAAGGATTTTTATCTGGCTTTCTGCAGGAGTATTTTTGAACACATTCTCCAGTAGACAGCATGAAAAAAAAAAAAATCTCATCCATCATTCAACACCTGCTATCAAGTCTTGGCTGAACAGAGACCATGAATCACAGAATGATTTGGCTTGGAAGGGACCTTATAGATCACCTTATTCCATCTGTCCTACCCTGAGCAGGGACACCCACTAGACATGCACCATCCCCTTTCTGTGAGTGCTAGAAGTGCTGTGCAGCACACAGCAGGAAAACATGCACTTCTAGGGGAATGTCCTCCACAGTCTGAAGTGCTTGTGCAGAAAAAGCCCGTGAGTATGCAAGGTGCATGATTTCAGCTATTAAAAATACAGCCCATCCACAGACAATAAGTGTCCAGGCTGACCTCACCCGCAGAGCAGCTGGCTGTGTCACATTTCCTAAGCTCAGGCACACTTGCCTGGGGGCAGCAGCACTCACAGCTGCATGGAAAAAGCGCTAGGAATACATGGGAGATGGACAGCTTTCATCCTCAACAGCTGCTCTGACCTCCAGTCCTTCACCCCTTGCAAAGAGCAGCCCAGTTCCCATTGTTTATAGTGGCAACTTACTCAGAAGTCTAGCAAAGGCAGGAGAGGATTTTTATTAGACAAAGCCACTGTGGAAATGCTGTTTAAGGTCCCTGTGGGAGTCTTGACACAGACAGCACAGCAATGTGATTTGCACTGACATTAACATTGCCTTTGGGTGTGCTCTGTGCCTCAGGACACCCTGTGTGCTGCTCAGACAGCTGCCCAAAGCTGATTAGCTGCAGTAGCTTCAGTATAATGCTATAGAATAATAAATCAGAGCACAAATGGTAACATAATAACATCTGTAACAGATTGGGGAAAATGGGTCAGAAAATTATGGGCTTTCCTTCAATGCTAGACTTCGAAGAGGATTTCCCAACTAGATGAATTTCAGATTCCTCAAAAATCTAATTGACCATGTGTGGAAAGAAGACAATAGGACAGTCCTACAGTCCTGACTCCCAATCTTTGCATCCTTCATTGCAATATGGGGACTCTGCTTTTGAGCTACACCCAGAGGTCTTTCCTGGCTGCTGGCTCTGCTGTATGTCTCCAGACCAGGCTATTCCCAAAAATTCCTGGAGTCACGTGACTGTGGGCTGATTTCAGATTTCCTCATTTATGAAATGGAAAGTCATGATAGCTGGAATAGTTGGGAAGTGCAAACTTGAAGGGCTCAGAAAGCAGAGGATGAATGGTTGTGCTGGATATCATGTTATATTTCAGTATTAAGGAAATAAAGAGGTGGCAACTAATAATGAATTCATTAGTGTCTTGCCAGGTGTTCCTACATGTGCTTCATGTCTCTAAATGCATGGTGAAACACAAACTTCTTTTATGTGTGCAGGAAAACACATTTCCCTATAGAGGTGCAGCTGAAATCTGAGCTTAGCCATCTGAGGCTATTTGGAACTAATGACAGCATTTGTCAGGGTAGGTAAAATCCAGGGATCTTTCCTATTCCACTGATCTCTCATTCAAGAGCCTCATTTCTCTCTAGCAGCTGCACTAAGAGCATCTGATACTCTCCAGCTGGGGCCTTCCACAGCCTCTTTGGTATCTCAGGAGACCTCTCAGTTGCAGGCTGAATTCTGTCCCTTTTCCAGAGGGGAAGAGTGGTGGGGAGGGTTGAGGAATCGAGCTGTGCATATCAGAGGCACATGGCCACTACCCTGATGGGCAACACTCTCACTGAAGTCAGCAGGACTTTCACCTTTTGACCTGGAACTGGGACCATGGCAGCCTTGGGCAGGTCTGAGGAACACACTGGTATTTACAAGCAGCAGTAGGAAGTGGTGATGTGGGAAGCATCGCACCAACTGACTTGGATCAAGCGTTCTTTCAGCCAATATATCTTGGCACATGTGAGGCAGTGCATTGTCCTCACTGGTTTTCCTGCTGCTGTCCCCAGCCCTCTGCAGACACAGTGAAGGAGGTGATCCAGCTCTCCAAGGACACCCTGGAGAAGATCAACAAGGCCCGCATGGAGGGACATTACCACGAGGTGAGTCCTGGTACTTCTGCTCTCTTGCTGCACACACACTGCCCAGGAAAGAAGGCCTGTCCCCCTCTAGATTCCCAATTTATGGATGAAACTGTAAAGCACAACCTTGTCTGAGGCATCCCAGACTGATTTTTTTTGTAGTGATGACACAAAGAGATTCAGGTGACTTCCAGCACCTCTGACTGACACAGGTGTTGAACCCAGAGCTCCTGGATGAAACTCATGAGTTACTGGTGTAACAAGTCAGCTCTACCAGATAGCCTCAAAAAAAAGAAGGACAGTGGGTTTGGGAGAGGAACAAGACTGTCAGTGGTCTTTGTGTTGACCTCTTTAGTGCCTTGTGTTGCTCATTTTTTGGGTGCTGAGGATAGGTGTGTGGTTTAGATGAGCCATGTCCCACCTTGGAGCCCAAGCTACAAGGGCAATGGGTGAGACAATTCAAGTAATTTCTTTTTTTTTTCTCCCTCTTTTGCTCACCCAGGAAATATTGAATTGTTCTCCTCAGAGAGCACTCCAGGTTGAGTAATGACCTCTGGGTTGGAACTGTCTTTGGGAAGAGGCTGAAGCCCCCTAGAACAGAAATCTGGACACTGACTCACGGCTAGATCAGGCATGGAACAGTGCAGCTCTGTGTCTCCAGCCCCAAGGGGTCATTAGCAATATTCCTTGCATTGAATATTTTCAGGAGGCTGGTGGATGGCATTGGAGTATGAGTCCTATAGGTACTTGGTGGTTGACAATACCCAGCCTCCTGGAGTCTTTCTTCTCCTGAGCAGAAGAAATCACTTTTTCCTCACCAGTTTTATGAGTGTAACCCTGGGAGACAAAGCTGTGAGTGCCAATCATTTTCCTAGGCTGATGTTTCTCAACAAATCAAAGGACACCCTCTCTTCACCCATTCCCTGGCTCAGCCTCAGGGAATGGCATGGACTGTGCAAACCACGGGGTCTTGATGTGGCAGCTTCAGGTCCAAAGGTGCTTGGACTCACCCTTGCTGTCGCTGCTTCCTCCACACTCAGGTGGTGAAGCTGTGCCGTGACTGCCTGCAGAAACAGGAGCCTGTGCTGGGGGACACGAACATCTACCTGCTGAGGATCCTCAGCATTGCCTCCGAGGTGCTCTCCTACCTCCAGATGTTTGAGGAAGCAGCTGACTATGCCAAGAGGATGGTGGATGGCTACCTGTATGTCTGTGCCCTGCTTCTGGTGCTCTCTGTGCTCGTGCCGTGTTAAGCAGTGTCTTACAGGAATAATTTTCTTAGTCTGCTCCCATGAGGGCAGTGGTGGTGAAATTCATATGGGAAATTTTTGTACCACCAGACAGAGAGGGGTCCCTTCTTAAATGCACAAACACCTTAATTTACTAAACTAAAACTGGCAAATGGTTTAGGAACATCTTTCACTGGCCTTTTTGTTTTGTCTCAGAGGCATCTCAGGGCTGCCCTGATAGCAAGACACAGAGACTGGGTGCAGGACACAGACTGCAGGAGATGGCCTGTTCCCTGCACCCTGCAGGAAGGAGAGGTCAAAGAGAAACCATGTCAAATGGCTGTCACTCAAGATATCTCCTCACTCCTGAATATTACATGGATTTTGTCTCGGCTCATTATATAGTTCTGTGGTAAAAGCTTAGTGAGAATAAAGAAATTCAGGTTTAGTTCACATAGATCCAGGGTAAACCTCACATTAAAAATTAAGTGCTTTATTATTACTGAGGTTTTATTACAGGACTGATGAGTATTTAACAGAAGGGAAAAAGAGGAAAGAAAGAAAAATAATGGAAACTGTTGAGAAGAGAGAAAAGCCAAATTCATCATCTTATTCATCCTCCTGCTGAGGACATCTCACACTCATTACTTGTCTTTGGTCAGTTCTACCCCAAAAGGCCTGTTATATTTTGTTCTTTTGCAGAGGGGTGACAGAGTCACCTCCCTGGCTTGCAGGCCTAACAAGGAACTTGATGTCCCAGCCCTGGTGCTGAGCTAATTGACTGAGAGAAAATTCCTTCTCCTTTGTGTTCCTCAGTTTTTCAGACCATGGTGAGGACCTTGGTAGTTTCCTTTCTTGCTTTAAGTGCCAATTCAAAATTCTAAAGAAGCCCTTGAGGGCAGGTTTTCAGCTAAATCCAAGCAGCTTCTAACTCTGCTTCAGCTTTCAAAGTTTGATGTAGAGGAGAAATTTCATTTTTCCCACCTTAGGCACTTAAAATTCCCAGATGACGGGATGCATCTGCAGAGGGTGAGATGCACATTTCTGGAGTTTCTGGAACCACCTGTTTCTCTTCCTGCTTTGAATGAGGAACTGGTGATTGTTGCATTGTTACCCCACTAAGTGTGTCAGGTTAAGCTGGTGCCAGCTGAGCCGTAGGGTCAGATCTGTGTTCTGTTTGTGCCAAAATATTGATGGAGCGTGGTTTTCTCTTGGCATGAGATGACAGAGCTTGGCTTCCTCCAAGCCAGGAGTTGAACCTTCCCAGTCCATATCCCATCTTTCATAACTCATGTCCCTGTACAGCTCTGTCCTTGTGTAATGTGTCCCCGTCCCTTTCTAAGAAGAGCACATTTTGGGGGCACTGGCTGCAACAGGCTCTTCACCTGAATAAACAAACTGCTCTTTGGCAAACATATCATGTCAGTGACACTTTTGAGAACCCAGATTTCTCCTGAACTAAAATTACCCAATGTTTTTCCAGGAAAATTTACCATCCCAACAACGCGCAGCTGGGGATGGCCGTGATGCGGGCGGGAGTGACCCACTGGCACGCTGGCCTCATTGAAGTTGGCCATGGCTTGATCTGCAAAGCCTATGCCATTCTCCTGATAACCCACGGACCTTCCCACCCAATTACCAAAGACCTGGAGGTAGGTGTCATCTCCTGTCTTGTCTCTCCTCTCTGTCTGGGCAAAATTACAGTCATAGAAACAACAGACCGTAGAGATGAGAGATGTATTAAGTGCTGACTGCTTCTCATAATCTAGATAAAACCATTAGTGCTGTGGTTTTATCTAGATTATGTTACATTCTGCTGGGAAATGCATGTACTTTCTTATTGGAAATTTTCATCCCTGAAAAGCAGCTTTTATTTTGCACCGTAACATACAAGAGAAATGGCAGCTAAGCCCCTGAATCTTCTGTGAAATTGCTGTGCCAAAAGACAGAGCCCCCCCCATTCTTCCAGCAGGCTGATTTCACTGCTCTCAGATGGATGACATTGGAATTTGGGTATATCAAATTACATGTGGTGGATGTGCCCAGTTTCCCACCTGATTTTCTTTATTGGTGTCCATTCTTCTTTATTTACCACCTTCTCAGCAGCAGTATGTTTTTTCCTCAGATGACTGATAGGTGCATTTCCTAGCTTAGAGTCAAGAGTGGAGATCCCAGTGAATTACATCTGCTCAGATGTGAGGAATTATGTACAATTGCAGCTGGGGAATCTATTATTTCTTTAGCCCCTAAGTCCCTTCATGTGACCTGTTTGCTTTATAGCATTCTCCTTTATTACCCTCAAAAAATTACAGGATACCAGATGAAATCCTTTATTGATGTCTTAGTCCTCATATAGTAGAGCTATAACCTTCACTGGTACAATTTTATATCTTCAGAAAAATTAATATCTACTACCTAAATCCAACCTGTTGACTGTTTCCATATGTGCAGCAGAGGATGAGATACCTCCATTTCTGTGCTTCCCTTCACATTTTAGGAAGAAAATAGCAGATATATGGCATATGCTTATCTCAGTGCACCTAAACAAAGGATTGAATAAATGCACAGAGAGGTGTAAAAATATATCCTAGAATTCCTTCTGATCCTCTGTTATAATGCAGCGCTAGGAATGACTGCTGCTGATGAATCCTGGGGTATAAAGGGTGCAGCTGTGGGACTGAGCAACCCTCTTCTCCCACAAGAGGTGACCCCCACCCTGGTGGTGGGCCGCCCCAAGGGCCAGGTCCAGGGTGTGGATGGGAAGTGCATTCATTTCCTGCCTCTGCACAGCATCACCTCCAGGTCCTGCATCACTTTTTGGAGCGTGAGGCTTCCTGCTGGTGGGACACCGAGGGCAAGGTGCCTCGGTCACTGCATGGCCTAGGACATCCTTTGGGGACAGTGCCCAATAGTGGCAGTTATTCCAGTTTGAAAGCAAAACCAGTGAGAGACTCCAGGTCAGAAATACAATTTATTAAGAAAAGGAAAAAAAAAACCAACAAAACCACACAATAAGATACATACAACAATACAAAAGCAAAACTACTGACAGAGTCAGAATAAAATCTGACACCCTGCTCTCGTTAGGGTGGTGGCAGCAATCCAGATGGAACGGTCTTGTTGAAGTGGTGATCCCATAGAAAAGATCTGGTAGCTCTTGTCTTCTGGAAACCAGTGGGTAAGAGCTGCTTGTTCTGTCCCAAACCCCAGATTATATCCAGGTGAGGATGTTTAGCTCCTCACCCCTGGGCAGAGCATCTCACAATGGGCTGTTACCATTCTGTGAGTCCTGGTGGGTCCATTAAACAGAAATGGCCCCCAGAGGGATTTATCTGTGGGTCATGGGCAAGGCATTAACAGGAGATGAGGAAAAAACAATTCCCCACTTGGTTTCAACAGCTCTTGAAGATGGGGATAGAATACATCTTTATATTGTAACCTAGGACAGCAGCGTTTGACTGGTGTGTTTTGAGGGGATAGAATACATCTTTATACTGTAACCCAGGACAGGCCAGGGTTTGTAACCCGCTGTGTCCCTCAGGTCATGCGTGTCCAGACGGAGATGGAGCTGCGCATGTTCCAGCAGAACGAGTTCATGTATTACAAGATGAGGGAAGCTGCCCTCAAGAACCAGAAGATCCAAGTCATGCCTGAACCCAGCAATGAGACTGCACCAAGCCTCTTCCACAAAAAGGAATAAACCTGGAGCTTGACACCAATTCATGCCTGCGGGGTAACATCACCCATGGCACTTCCAAACACTGGGAATGTGATACAGCAATGTGATATATCCACAAGGATTGTTTCCAGTGGCACAGGTCTGTCAGCATGGACCTGCTGGGGGAGCATCCTGGCAACTCTTCTGAGGGCTTAAAGCAGAAGAGGTCCCGGCAGAAACAACATCCCTTTTTCTATCACTAAGGCATTAAATAATCAAAGAAAAAAAAACACTGTTAGAAAATTTACATTTTTATTGGAAGCATGTTTCTTTCTACGCATTCTGATTCTGAATTCCTTTGTTAAATTTTGATTGATAGATTTTTCTTAAGGGGTTCTACCACTTTCTTGGGATGACATAATTTCTTTCCAGTGGTGTCCATGGGAAGATAGAAGTGGGAAGCCAGTTACAAGTACACCTGTGGGCAATGAATGCAAACTGAACAAGACACACAGATGGTGTTTTGTGTTAAATGATATTTTTTTTGATGAAAAACTGCTGAAAAATTATTTTGCAGCTGGCACAGGTGCAGCATTGAATTGTGGGCCATTTGCAAGTGAGACTAACTGGAATCCTTACATCAAGATAAGTTAATTGAGATAAAGTATTCTCCTCAATTACAAATCAGAAAATGTCTGCAGTGATGGACGTGGGGCCATGCCAGAAGCCTGTTGCTATAGTTCAGTGCATTGGATTGTTCTAACTAGGCAAGCAGTGTCCAGGGAGGGGAATCCATCCTTCCTCATCAGGGTCTCTGATGCCTTAAAACACCTGCCTTTTGACTTAGGTGTTTAATCAATTTTGCACTGAGGAGAAAAGGGATAGTACAAAGATCAGCTGCAGTAAACTGCCAATAAAAAAATGTATCTGTTGTCTGCCCATATGTCTGAAAACCCAACTGATTTCCTGCAGACTTTCAGTGGCAGCCAGGAGAGGAAAAGGTTTATTCAAGAATCCCCTACCTGCTCCTCAGCACAGTAGCAAGTAAACAGAACCAGATCTTTTCCTCTTTGACATTTCTCATTAATTTTGCTGATGTTTCTCCAGATCTGAGTTCACTAAAGACCAACACCTGATTTTTAGGCACAGTTTAGCTAAGCCCTTCCATTTGTCTGTGAGGTGCCTCTGCTGCCCTGTGTGACAATCCATATTGGTTCAGTTCTTGGCATGAGGATCAATGTTGATCTGTAATATGAAAACCTTTCCTGGACACAGAGGAGTCCTGGCAGCAGCCCTGGAAAAGGCAGATAAGAGGAAAGAGTTTCCTTTCCTGTCTGCAGCAGAAAACCACATCTCCATTTGGCCCGAAGTGCCAAGCAAGAGTACAGGAGATGACTTTGGTGTTTCCTCTATCTACACTATGAACAACCAGCCCGTCTTCTGCCAGAAGAGAAAATCTGTATTTCACCCTGGAAGAAGTGTTTTATTCCCGTTCAACCCAATTTACCAGGTGCAGCTTGGGGTGAAACACACACTGGATACCCGTGGCAGTTGTGACTCTCCTGCTGGTGGGAAGGGGTGGGGAGGAGATGGGGATGGGGTGGCCAGAGCTACAGGGCTGGATCCTACTGCAGCGGTGTGAGGATGAAGACAGCAGCTGGTAGCCCATGCTGGTTTCTTTCCCAAGCTTTGCAAACAAGATCACTGGCACTTCCTTGACTCCACCTGAACCACCCCAAATCCTCTGGCCCTGCTGGTCACTCTGATCCCTTTGGCCATATCTGCAAGGAAAGGCAACAGAGCCCTTTTCTTGCCCAGTGCTCCCCAGCCCACATCAGCCATGGGTGCAGGACTCACTGGAGCATTCCCAGCGGGCTGCTGGCAGCTGCTCCCAGGAAAGGGCTGGAAGAACACTCATCAGCATGTGTCACTCAGTGCCTCTGAGCCTGTGCCTTGCCTCAACTCCATTCTCCAGCATCAGTACACCCTTAGATCAGTTTGTTGCCCAGTCTCTACCATTGCTTCCATGAGCTTTGGAGGGTTATGTCTATTTGTAGTAGCAATGAAGAGGTTGATGACAATGAAGAGGATTCAATAAATTTTTTGTTTTAATGGCCACATTTTACACAGTAAATTATTGGCATGTATAATCTTTCTAGATTCTCTTGCTGACTCTCTTCAAGGTAAGGTCACCCATGGTCATTGTCTGAAAAAGAAATGGAAAGTGTTAGCTTTTTATGAATTTGTAGAATCATTGAATATCTCAAGTTGGATAAGGATAAGGATCATCATGGTGTTTAATTCCAAACTGTACTTAGGATCTGGTCTTGCAAATCAAAACAGGACTGATCCCCAGCCTATCTCTTATAAACTGGATTTTTTAAAGCTTTGGATTTCTTCATTAATACCCCAAAGCACATAGGGATAGGCTGGCATCTCTCAGCTGCTGATCAGTTTGCCTCACCTTTCTTCTCTAAGAGTGCCAAGCCCTGGCACATACCTATTCCTCTGGGTGGGTGAGATCATGCCCTCATTACCCGAAACTTTGATCAGCTGTGCCTAAACTGGGATCTTAAAAAGTACTTTATGGATCATACTCTAAGGAGGAACTGCCTTCAGAGCCTGTGTGCAAGCACTTGCTCTGCTCCAGCACCTCCCAGTGCCCCTGTAGCTTCCTAGGCCAGGCTCCTGAGGGCAGCCCTGCTGTTCCAGCCATTGTCCTTCTACACTTACGTAGGTGATGGTGTCTCCGTTGAGCTCCGTGACGGATTTCATCCCTTTCACCTGCGTGACCAGTTTGTTGTTACCCTCCATCTGCACAACAGCCTGGTGGAAGACAGAAGCATTCATGTTATTGCTAGACACCACCTCGATCCCTGCTCTCCTTCCTCTGCTGTAGCAAGAGGGGACTGCAGAGCCACCTGAGCTGCACATCTAGAAAGGCTGCAGACAGCACCAGCACCCCCGGGGCAGCTGTCACTGATCAATGAAATTAATCAAATCAATTACAAAGCAAAGCCAATTTCTGTTTCTCTGTTTTGTCCAGCTAAAAGATGTGTTCATTTGCCTTTGAGCTGCTGATGTACAGAGGCTAAAAGTGTTCTAATAACTGCTTCCCCCTGGTTTATGCCAAAGGGAGTGCAGAGATGCTGGAAATCGTGATGCAGCTGGTAGAGCTCTCAGAGCCCCATTCACAGGGCATTTCTTTGGTGATCACCCCTCCTGCTTTCAAAAGTCCCCGCAATTCCATCTCCTCCTGAGGCAGAGACAAGAGGCAGATTTCACTAGTGGGGTTGCCTTGAAATTCTATGAACCATTGGAAACTAATATCCAGGAAAGGGAGCACCCAAGTTCAAGGGTGGTAACTCCTCACCTTGCCAAATCATCTCACCCAGGGTAATCTGAAGCAGTGGGAAAGGCTAGCAGAGAAGCTAACAGCTACTGGGACTTAAAAGGAGAGATTTATTGGTTTATGACTGATTGTCTGATTTTCCTGCACTGCCTTTGAGTCTACAAAATTAGGGCAGAGGTATGTTTTGTGTTGCAAGATGACACAAAGTCAATCCCTTTTCACCTCAAATCTTTCAAAACTCTTCCTGTCAAAAAATTTTACCAAAGCATCTCTATCCCCCTTTTCCAAATGGGATATTACAACACTGGCTTCTAGCGTTTTCCAAAATGACTATTAAAATAGAGTCAGAAATACAAAGCTTTTTCTGTAGGAAGTGCAATGCATTAATTAATACCTCTGGTATGGTCAGTCCCTTTGCTCATATGCAGAGGGAATGGCTGGAAAGGAAATGTAATATCCCTGAGCCCCCATGGCCCTGGCTGCTCACTCACCTTCACTTTCTCTCCATTCAGCATCTCTATGTCACTCTCCTCCCCAATGGTGAACTGGTTTTTCACCACTTTGGAGCCAGTGGTCACAGTAATAGTGAACTTTTTCCCATCCTGCACAATTTCTGAGATGCTCTTGAGGTCCTTGCCCCTCTGGATCTGGTCCTCAGGGAGCCCTGCCAAGGAACAAGAGACATTGAATGAATGGTGGAGCCATCTGTGGGCAGATTGCTGCCACTGAACAAATCAATGTAGTAGGATTTGGGGACCTACAGTTGGGAAATTTCTATTCCAGTGTGGAAAAGCTTTTCAGTGATGGTGCTTCCTCAAGAGCCATATGTCCCTGAGTCTGCTGGGAAGGAAGATGAATACTGTCATCTTGAATTTTGTGTGGGAACTAGACATGTCCTGTGTCTTGCTGACCTGGCTGGGAGCACAAACACCACCTCCCTGTCTAAAAATAAATCTTGCTTTCCTTCCTTCACTGACAGGTAAGGAAAAATGGATTAAGTCAAGACAAAATAAAGGAACAAAGTGGGTTTTTTTTATGAGGTTCAGGGTTCCTCAGAACCAATTTATAAAATCTTCTCCCAAAGCCTGAAGGTGATCTGACAGGTAGAGCCCTTCTGGCACATAACCGTGCAGAAATAGTGCGAAGTCCCCTGGATCCTTGCAGGACCACATTCCCTGTCACAGAATTCCCTGTCCCTTCTACAGAAGTGGAAATCTATCAGACACATTCATCATTTAAACAGCACCAACTATTTTTCTGATGAACCAACTATTTTTCTGAGGCTTTGCAGCATCGCAGCACAGTGGCTGAGCAATGTCCTGCTTGCCCTCAAATTTCACAGCTTGATGGAGCAGATCTGCAGTGTCCCTAAGCCACCAAGGTCCTGCTGGCTTATCACATGTGTGCAGCGCTCAGCCACGCTGGCCAGTGGCTGCAGAACCTGCTAGGACTGACTTCCTGCAAGCCAGAAAACTTCACCCATCATCTCCTGACCCCCCGCCCCAGACAGAGAGGTGCTTTCTCTTCTATTTTGAGATCACATCTCCACACAAATACATTTAAAATCCCAATAATTACAAGGTGAAAGAGAGAAATAGAAAATCTCAGAGATGTCCCAATCTACACCATCAGCATATCAGCACAGTTGGCTCCCAAAAATCAATGTGATCTGCAGAGACAAAGCAGTACATAGCACATGCAGGCACATACCGAGGGCTCTCATAAAGGGCTCAAAGTTTTCCTGGTGCTGGAGCTGGTATTTTCCAGTGAAGCTCATGGTGGAAAACTCTATGTGCTCCTAACACAAGAGAAGGTGCCTTGCTGGTAAGCAGAGCTTGGTTTTATATCATCCTTCTGCCTTAAAAGTTGGCCAGAGGTAAGATGATGTAATTGGTTTATGGGCATGTTCAAATATTAACATAAAACTGGGCAATGGTC